GGGGGGAGATCACAATATTTATTAAAGGGTTGCTTTACATTACTGATAAGGGCAAACCTTATGCTGGACTCGTAATTCTGGGGGAAAATTCAGTTGCGAGTTATTTAACATTTTCCTATTCCTGTTGAAGCTGCCAACGAAACAGTGCTTTCTTTTTGTGTTTTACAGCGCTCGCAACTGCTTAAGGTCCTTTAAGCGCGCGGGACACATAACTTTTCAGTTGGTAGGAAATTTTGAATTTTGCCTGGGTGGCGGCCGAAAACTGCTCTTATCGATTTTAGACCACCAAGGGATCTTTAACGTGCGCAACTTACACACGGGCCCTCCAAGAGTTTTTGCCCTTGTCCGAGAAGGCTAGGTGTAGAGCCTTCCTACCAGAAGATCAGGGTGTAGCTGAAAGACAGCAGTAAGAAGGAGCCAAGAAGTAGCAGTAAAAAGGCTGCAGAAAGAGTCAGGAGCACAGAAGAGGGGGCAAAGGATGTGACGGGGTGTGGGGGCAGAAACAGGAGACGAAAGCGCTTTTTCTAGCATCATTGAAAATTGTACAGTCAAAGTGTTCCTTCATCTCATCTTGTTCTGCGTTTGATAAATTAAGAAAGAATTGTTGAACAATCTGAAGTTAGATGTTTCATGATCTGAAATTGAATTTCTCTTCATTTGGTAAAACAATGTCAGGGTAATTTTTGTGTCAACACGTTTGGGTACAGTGTAGTTTAAACAAAATTAATGTCCACTTATGTTATGGCCCAGCACTCTGCTGTGATATTATAGCACTGTTTTTTTCCGGGGATGGGGGTTGAGGAGGGGAGGGGGGTAAAATCATTTCTCTTGTTAAGTACATGTCATGAGATCTGACCTGCACTTTGTGTTACAGTCAAATTAGTTTTGATTGCTAGCGTTTTAAGACATATTATGTGCTTTCAAAAGAGAGGGTGGAAGGGATGAAGAGGAGAGTGAGAAGGAGAAGATTGAGTGAAAAACAGAAAGTACGAATAACAAAAAAATGAGCAAAGAAATGAGAGACTGAAGGAAAAGAAAAACAACCGGAGAAAGCGAGATAGGAAGGAGGGATAGAAGAAACAAAATCAAGAGGTGGAAAAACAGTATCAATAAAAGGAAAGGGGGGAGGAGGTAGGGAAGTAGTATGAGGAGTGTGGGAGGAGGAGGTCGGGGAGAAAAATAAGGAGGAAGGGGTAGGGAAAGGAAAAGTCATAAAAATTTCCTCAAAGAAATCATTTATTTTTATCTCCGCGCCAGTTCTTCTATACCCGAATCAGCTTCAAGGTGAAACAGCAGTGACCGTTACAGGTTGAAAAAAGTAACCCCCACCCCCACC